TAGCAGGAGGAACACTCGGTAAGGTTTTCCTCATAAAGATGACAAACATATACATTTTTAGGATTAATAATTTAAACTTGTGTTTTTTCATGCTTTTTTTTCCAGCTCTCGTTCAAGTTGATGAGACTACTTGTGACCTCAGGATGAACACAGGTCCATGCTCTCCTATTCTTGAAGGAACTGTGTATATCCAAGTGATGACTAATGCTAGTGGCCGTGAAATGAAGTGTTTGAAAGTGCTTCCCAGGGTGAACATAACTATGTTCAATCTGAAGAAAGAAAAAATAATGATAGACAAGGAATTTAACAACAGACTACAGTTTATAATCAAGAACGGGACATTCAAGATCACAAACATGAGGAGGAATGATTCAGGTCAATACAGCATTGAGGTCTTTAATTCAGATGGCGTTCAAGAGAAAAATATTCATTTCACCCTGGATGTTAAAGACAATGGAAAAGTTGAAGGCAAGTTATATATTTTGAAGTTATTATAAAGTTAATCAGAAATATAAGCATCTGTCACAACGGGACTGAAGGGACTCAAGCGCAGGCTCTGGGTCGTGAAAAATAAAGAGTGTTTATTTACAGAAACACCAGTTGAGCTATTTACAAAGTGAGGGAAAAGACGGATTCCGGGAATCCACACGACCAGGGAAAGACGCTTGCACCAACACACGCTCCTAGGTCCACGCTCGTAGGTCCACACTCCATTCACGCTCCACGCCACATGCTCCTCTTCACTCTCCACCAATCCACAAGAAACACAAAGCTGGCTCCAATTCTCACACACTCAGTCACACAGGTAACACATGGACAGGTCCAGGGAAATCTATTCACAAAGATACGAGAAGATTACTACGGGAAGATCGCTAGAGATACGAGAATAAACAAGGCCGGGGTTAACACTGACAAGAGTTGGCAACGGTCCAGTGACGAGAAACACAGAGCTGCCATCTTATATAGTTACTGGAACATTGTCGAGTGATGAGCCACAGGTGTGAGATTACGAACAGGTGCGTGGGCCAAGGGAGGGAGCCCACAGGTGAGCTCTCCCCAGGCAGTAGGAGGAAGGAGGGACAGTGAGGGAGGGAGAGAGAGAGCAGGAGCAAAAAATCTAAACAAAAACACATCTAACCGACCAGTTAGAAACAGGGACCCTGACAGCATCATGCTGCAGTAAAACTGCAAAACAGTACCCATCACTTGTGCAACAAATGATAGAAGATCTACTGAAAAAACTACAAAGACAGATGCAAATGTTTCATGCTGCTTGATGTTTCCAAATTCTTGAAGAGAATGAATGGAAAATTTTGCAATATAGTATTTGTCTATCTATTGGTATTTTCAGTAATTTTCACCACACATGGGCTGGTATGCATTTTCATAATGTAATCTTTAACTTTAAACTGTAAAGGGACACTGAATTTTTAAACATGGTCACTGATTAGTGTTAGCTGCACTAAATGAGTACATTTTTCGGCGGTGAAGAAGAAGTATTA